GCCGAGACCAGCGCCATCTCTCGGCACAGACACAGACGTGCAAACGCCCTAAATGTAACCGATCAACAGGACTCGGAATATATGGCAGCTGGGGCCCAGAGCCATCTGTGAACGTGAACACGTCCTCAGCTCATCGTCGGCCTTTGCGGAGTCTGTGCCGTGTGTCCTTGTGGTTGACCTTGAGCAGGTGTGGTGAGTCAGCCACGGGCACCGCCCTCGGGACGCCCACCTCCATCGGGACTCATGCACACATATAAACCGCGGCGGCCGTGAACCCGCAGGCTTGGCTCCGCCACGTGCTGGCACCCCAGGCCGAGGAAGGGCTCAGGCTGGGATCCCTACTGCCCGAGGCTGGGGCTGGGGGTGGTCTGCGGCCACCGCCCCAGCTCCTGCACCAGCACTTCCGTCTTTGTTTGTTTCCTCTCCACCCCAAGCCTCGTCCGGGGGCCAGGACGGGCTGTTGGCGCTCTCCTCCCTCATGGAGATGCCCCGCGCCACCGCGAGTGCCCCAGCCGCTGGCTTTCATCTGACCCCACAGCGCCTCCCGCCCTGAAGGCCCTCCCGTGGGACTCTGGGGGCGGAGCCTCCGTCCCAGGCTGTCTCTTCCCTCCAGGCTCGGCCAAGCTGCTTCTGCTTTCCTTCCAAGCACTACCTTTCCCCCCCCCCCCTTTTTTTTTTAAGGAATGGAAACATTGCTTTGTTCAGGAGGCTGGCAACCTGGGGAGAAGGCAGCCTCGTGTCTGAAAGCTACCTCTGAAGATTCTGCTCAACCATGGAGGGTAGTAGAAGGACGATCTCCTGGGGAGGGGTCAGAGCCTGTCCTTGGCCACTGTGCAGACAGTCTTCTGACTGGCTGGCGGGGAGGCTACGGGCGGGGCTCCAGGGGTCTTGCGCTCAGCCCAGGCCCCGTCCTCCACCTGGGTGGGGCCCTGGGCTCCCCGCTCCAGGCTGGACCAGAGGCCCCAGCATGGCGGCAGTGGCTCTGCTCCTCTGCGTCCCCTGAGGGGCTCGGCCTAGTGAGTGTCTGCTCCACTCCCCGGAGACTCCTGCTTCTGCAGCTGCTTTAATCTGCACACCTTTTGACCCTAATCACTTATCAGCCTGGACTTCCAGACTGACGGGCTGACTCCAGGCGACCGTCACACAACCTGGACTGTTTTCCAGCTTTGCTGATTTGCTAATCTGCTAATTTGGCCCATGGTGAGCTGAGGGAATCCGTCCTCCCATGTGCGAGGAAGCGGCGGTGAGCAGAATTTATCTATGCACGTTTGATACTGTTTATCCGGCGTTCATGTCCTTCTAACTGTTTACCCACTGACAAGGTTTTCATTCATAGGTGGAACCCTGCAGGAATTTTTAATTCCTGGTTATTTGTGAACAGTCTGTGCAGTGGGAATAGTGTTTAAATCACAGCAAAGTGCTTTTTCCCCTGTGAATTGTACGCATACAGGAGCAGCAGTTTTTCTGATTAAAACCACAGATCCAGCGTCACAGTCAGGCAGCTTCACCGTAGGTGGTGAAACTGGCCCAGAGAAGGAGCTCGCAATGCACCTCGCGTGCCTCTAACAAGCCAAAGGCGAGGGAGCTTCACCAAGCACAGGGTGTCGTCTCTGCCACCTTTCTAGGCTCTGGAAGCTGAGGGACCACAGAGCTCTGTTAGTCTCTAGGCATCTGGGGAAAATCGGATGAAATGATTTGTTTCAAAATTTTGTAAGATCTTTTTCTTTACGACCCTTACTCTTAAAAAGTCACGCTGCGAAACATTAAAGAAATAACCTTTACAATTCGGTTTTGAATGTTTCCTGCTTAAAGATCAGCATCAAAACACGCCTTAGTGGACACACTTACATCAAATACAGCGGACGGAGCGCCAGTGGTCACGGTATTTAAACGAGCACACGAAAGCCAGGACGTACCGTTCAGCTAGCAGCCTCAGACTAGGAGGAAATGTTCATCCTCACCAGTAACACAGTAACTTCTAATTAGTAAATTTTACTTTTCCCATTTTGGGACCTTGTAAGAGCTAATTACAAAAAAGGGTCATTCTCGACGGCGCTTCGATGCTGGTAAGATGCGGTCACGTCGGGGGATGCTTGTGTGTCCAACGGCAGTTTAATTTGGCCCCTGCAGTTTGAAAGACACAATAGTAAAAATGAAAATCTTCCGTATTCTCTAGATTCCCACAGCCTCTGCCCCTCAGATCCGATGCCCGGACGTTTTTCTTAAAGGCCCCAAAAGAAAGAAGCCGAAGTGTGTCTCAGCATCGTCTACACGGGACAGAAGAAATGGGAAACCTCGCGCGTTCTATGACCAAGCCTGGCCGCCTGGGGACGAACAAGGTACTACCGCCTTCCAGGCACTTCATGCCAATGAGAGGAACCCTGTCGACTCTAACGTTGCACGGCTCTGGAACTTCATTTGTACCTACGTAGGAGAAGAGAAAAGGTTTTAAAGTTTGTTAAGGCAGTGGTAGGGTATGTTTTACTTTGTCCACAAATCTCAGTAGAGGATACTTTTGTTGGAATCCCACTGTGGAACATATACCAGAGGCATGCCCCCGGCTGAGGTGTGAGCTATCCAGGCGATGTGCCTGCCCCTGCCCCGAGGATGGAGCCCGTGGGGTGAGAGGTCACCGCAGAGCAGGTGGCTTTCGGGGCAGGAGGGTGGTTCCCATTTGGACCTGCGCTTTAGTGAGTGCTTGCTTTTCCCAAATTCCTGGTGCAGAAGTCTACAGACTATAATGCCAGCCAGGAAACGGATCCCAAGGCAGATTGTTCCGGAAGGCGCCACTGAAGGTCCTGCCCCAGTCGCAGGAGTTAAACGCTGTGCAGACGTGGCGCCCGTTTGGTTAGTCCGATCGAGAATGTCACCTGCCCGGATTCAGAGGGCTCCCGTGTGTCGCAGGTAAATGGTAAACGGGGACTGGCAGCCCGGCTTTACTGTCAAAAATGGGAAGCAGGGAGCGCACGGCTGCTCCTCCCAGAACAAACTTGCAGATTCGTTCTCTAGCGCGAAAGCGGGTGTGTACCTTTCCTCTGGGCTCCCACTAAGCGCTGTGCTTGCTCTGCTCCTGAGGCCTTGATCGTGTTTTCAGGAGTGGTTTTGGGCGGAGTTTCCTGTTTGGGTCTCGTGTTTACTGGTTGCTGTGGCTGCTTCAGGGCTGGGGCAGGCACGGCTCCCTCCTCGGCGGTGCCCAGCGCTGCTGACAGGCGAGCGTGCGGCAGCCGAGGGTGGCCTGTCAGCGGCCGTCACCAGTTAGTGACACGTGGCCTCCCTTTCCTGGAACTGGTCACGTCCACGTGTGACAGGAACAGCTGAGAAGCCGTGGTCTGGTGTGTCCAGGCCCACGTGGCTGAAGGAGCAGGAGGAGGATGGTCCCTGAAGTCCGCCCGCCTGCTGGAGCTCCTGCAGCCCCTTGGCGGGCTGTGTGTCCCACCCCGAGCCCCGCCTCTCCGAGCCCCCCTGCGCACCTGTGAACGCGAGCCACCAAGTCTGGCTTCAAGACACAACTTCCCAGAATGAGTTAAACTCCACGTGCAAGCGTGTGCTTTGTGCATCACCCAGCGCGTTACCCTCGGCCTCTTTGTAACCCGGCAGCTCCGGTTATCCGAAGCCAGGACCTTCGGGTGACGGATCAGCAGATGCCTTCCCGGCCCTCTGCTTTGGCATCACAGTGCAGTGTGTTCAGGGTCCCTGCTCCGGCCTTCACAGCCGCCCACCTGGGCTGCTCGCACCGGGCGGCAGGGCATCGCGGCCGGGCCACATCTCCGCGGGGGTGACCGGCACGGCGTCGCGCACGCTTACTCTGCTTGGCTTCTGGCCGCCTGGCTGCTGGATACCTGGCGTCCTCACGTCCTTGGTGCGCAGAAGAGCTGGTCTGCCACCGAAATGAGGACTGCAGAGACCCCCCCACCCCATCCCAGAAGCTCCTTCTGGTCACCAGTCCAGGCTGAGCCAGGCAGCCACCTGGGAAGCGAGGGTGTGGGAGGCCAGGGGAGGGTCTGGAAGGACACAGGGTGGCCCCGCTCCTACCCGCAGACTTTGTGTTCAGTGAGTCTGCTCCTTGGCATCCTGGTACATTAGCTACTTTCTTCCTGTTCAATTTGCCAGAAACCTTTTTTTTTTTTAAGAAACAATTTCAATTAGTTTTTATTGTGATACAGTTTGAATAGCTCACAGTTTACAAACTGGATGCAGTTTTTAGTGCACTCATGAAATCACGTAACCATCCCCTCCGATTCCGGAACATTTCCACCAGCGTCCCCGAGCCCCACATCCGTCAGCTGCCGTCCCCATCTCTGTTAACGTTCCTTGGTTCTTCTTGGTTTCCGTTCCTCAGGCTGCATTGTCTCCCGTGAACTGTCTCCATTGTCACTGACGTGTTCCCCGTGGCCGGCCCAGTCTGCCTTTGAGACCCCCGAGTGATGCTCCGTCCCATGTTTTGTGCTGTACGAGTCAGAACTTCCGCTGGTTCTTTCCAATAATCCGTCTCTTTCCTGATCATCTCGGTCATGTTTCCCGTTGGCTGTTAAATGTGGTTTCCCCTGCTTCTTCAAACACGTCTATAACCAGCGGGTTCAAGGAAGTCCGTGCACTGAGTCCAGCAGCTGGGCTTCCTCGGGGCCGGGGTTTGTTGACTGCATTTTTTTTCCGGTGTATGTGCCGCCTTTTAGCGTTTCTTTGCATTTTTCATACATATGTGTGTATCTTGGAAAACTGAACGTTTTCCAATGTACAACGTGGTAGCCTTTGAAATCAGACCGCTTTATCGCCAGGCTTGCTGTCGATCTTATTACAATTTACTGTCGTTCTTGCTGTTTTGTTTACTAACTTTCCTGAGTTAATTCTACGCGATGGGTTCTCTTTGTCATGTGTGGTCGCTGGAGTCTCTGCCTAGTTACCTTTACCGATGATCGTGCTTGGACAGAGACCTCCTTAAATGGCCGGAACCACGACGGCTTCCAGCCTCGGCTGAGGGCTCTCTGCCAGCGGGTGGGGGAGAGCCACGCCCTGACCGAGACCCCCTGCTTGCCCAGAGCCCCGCGGCCGGACCCCTCACTGCTCTGGCCTTGGCACCCACCCGGTCCTGCGCGTGCACCTGGCCTTCTTAACTCCCGGGAGCAGGCTCAGGCTTGGAAATCGCCAGCACGTCTCATCCCTGGTTCCGCCCCACCTGTTAGCGGTGCCTCAGGCTGGTGCCACGATTGTTTTCTGACAAACGCCTGCGGGAAAAGGCTGGTCACAAAGAGTAGGTTCTGAGCCAGGTCAAAGGCAGATACGCCTTGGCTGGAGGTTTCCAGGGAGCCCCCAGGCAGGCCGAATACTTCATGAAATGAAATACAGCCCTTCACGGGGCTTCGGGGAGTTCCAAACCTCTCTTTTCTCCCGCAGCTGCTAAGCTCTTTACTTCCGCAGCTGCCGTGTTTGTGAGCCTGTGGCTTTTAAATGTTCTTACTGAGCTTGGGGCGGGGGTGGGGGTGCGTGTTAAAATGCTGAGATTCATACAGTCTTCCTGATATACACTCCATGGGTTCCTGCCAGCGATGAGGGATTTCCAAAGTCCTGAAAAATCTGAATTTGACTTTTTTGCAGTGTTCTTGTCACTTCAGACGGAGGAGCAGACTCTTGGAGGCCCTTCTCTGCTGCTCCGGAATTGCTTGCAAAATTGTTGTGATGCTTCCAGGCAGAGTCCAGCCCAAGACACCACAGGTTAGTACAAATATTTAAGAGACTGATTGGCCCCAGACAGCTATTTCCAGAAAGCCGCAATTCCCCTAGCACAAACAGGAGCTTTGAATAAACTTCAGCTTTTATATATATGCAGTCAGGGGTCACTTCAGGGAATCTGTTTCTGCTTCTATGCGTGAGAATCCTATGCCACTTGTGTATGTTCTCACATAGGCAAAATGCAGAAGACCCATGCTGCTGTCCGATGTCAGACCAGCTTCTCCTCGCAGAGGAAACGGTGATAACCCTGCAACACTGTGTTCATTTTCACAGCATTCATCACGAAGTGTAATTACGTTAGTGGCACCCCACCAGCGTATTGCATTTGAAATTCAAAAGTGGCTGAATATTGGCATTTCCGTGTGATTCAGCACGCTCGTGTATACTCACTGCACGTTTACCCACTACGTTTTGTGCAGCGCTTCAGCTTCTCCCTCAGCTCTGTGTTCAAGGAGCATGGCAGATTCTGACTAGTTACAATCAGTCCTGAAAGAAAGAATGAATCTACACCACGTGAGGAGTTAAGCAGAAATAAAGCTGGAGAAGAGAGAACAGGGTGAAAATCGAAAGCCTCTCTGCGCCGCATTAAAGGGTTTATCGTTTATTCTTATCTGGCAGTGACTTTGTTTCTTGCTTTACTGTGGAAATTAAACGCTTGTAAACTTGATAATGACTTTTTTTTTAATTGTAGGAAAATGAAAGGGGAAAGGGGAAAAGTCAGACATGTAAACCCCTTTTAAGGCAAAATAGAAGTAAGTGGACCAAGAACCCAGCCAAGAGACCGAGGGCGAGGAAAACGGAACAGGGGGTGTAGGAGGATGCTCCGACGCGGCCAGGCGACACGGAGGGCGGCTGGGTCGTCACTGAAAGCAGGCCATCAGCTGAGCAATCGCTGGCCGTCTGGAGAGGGCGGGTCGGCACAGCGGCGGTGCGGCCGATCCTGGGAGGGGCGCCTGGGCAGATGACTCTCGGGGACGCGTGTGAGCCGGGAGCCCCTTGGGTCTTGGGCTAATAGGAAACAGAACAGAGCACGGTAAACAGGACGGAGCCTGTGGGTTCTTATTTTTCTAGAACACGACAGCAGTCATAATGTCCTGTGATAAGCCTCCTGGTTCAGCGGCTCCCCCTGTCATGGGATTGTTTATGGTAGTGGTTCTTCTCCGTCTCTCCTTCTTTCTTCCCTCGAAGAAGGCTCACTTCAGAATTTCATAGAAACGGCGGAACCGCATCGCCCCCAAGTGCGCACATCCACAGACACCCACAGACCACGGGGAGAAGACTGCGGGAATGGGACGGCGGACCGGTGTCGTCATCGCTGACGGCCGCTGTGGTGCTGGGAGCCCCTCCTCGGTCCGTGTATCTGTGGCTGGTGGGGGGACACGGCGCTAAAGGAAGCCCTTTGTTTTCAGGTCCACGCAGGTGGAAGTCGTGCCTAGAGCAGCGTTAATATTTTCAGCCTTGTATCTTTCTCTTTTTTAACATTTTTTATT